TTACGAAACGCATACAGAAATTCGCGGAGATATACGAGCTCGGAAATTTCTGTTTTCAAATTCAGCGTCCGCAAAAAAAGAGAATACCGCAACAACGTATCCTTTGATAGTCTAACAATACTAAGTAATTAATGCCACCAGTCGTATTAATAACAATGGCAACGGAATAATGGTGGAAACGCGCTTCGGTCGCAGAGAGCAACAGCACCAGCAGCAGCGAAGGCAAAATAGCTCGTTTGCGTTAAATCATCTCGAGATCGTAGAGCAGAGATAGGCTCGCGCGGGCGCCGCTCCTCTGCTGCTCGCGGTTATGCTACGCGCAAAAGAAGAAAACTGCATGTTGCGCGCAGCGGCGGCGGCACGTAATTAGCAGAACGAAAACTTTACAGCGCCACTGTGCCATCGTGCCAAACTTATTATACGATCACAGTGCTCCGGCGTTTATTGTTTGCAGTTGCCTTCGTGCATGGGTCGCAGCTTCACAATGCCAAGTCCAATACGTTGAACAATTATTCTCCGTTTTATTGATAGCCTAATATTTTTACTGGAACTCGCGCGATACGTTTAAATATAGATCTTGTACGTTTGACGAGAGCTTCCGTTCTTAGATTTTTGCATTTTTTTTCAAATATGTCCCCGGTAAATTTCTAGGACTGGTGCATCACCCTCAGCAGCCTCCTAAATATAGCTTCGGAAATAGTTGGGAGTTCGCTCGAAAATAAATGAGGGACTCGTTTTTTCGCGCCCTCGACTATTTATTTTTACGCCATGAATTATCACTCGTAAGTCGAAATAATGATTAATCGCGTTTGCGCATTGGCATGCTGTTCAAGTGTGCGTAATTGATAGCAGCGTGTAATTAGTAGTCTGCATCAAGCCGACAATCAAAGGGAGCATCGCTCGCGCGGAGAGAAAATTTCAATTTGAAATCCGTGTAATTGAAATTACGCAATGCAGCGGCACTTTGAGAAAACTTGAATAATGCAATTGGGAGCAACTTTACGTTCCATGGCATTTCAATGATCAAGCCGCCGCTCCATGCCACAGAGAGAAGTAGCCCGCCGCCGCTTTGTCCAAACTTTTCAAATTTCGCTGCTCTAATAAACAGCTAAGCTCCCAAACAAATTAACGATAATTCGCGAAGCTAGAGTTGAAAATTCGTATAGAATCCATATAACATCGCTCCCTCTCTGTCCCTCTCTTTTTCTCGCTGCACGTTCAAAATGCTAAACTTTCGGTGGCTCGCGCGAGCTCGACAACAAGTCCACAAAGGCCAAGTTCTTCTTGCGCGAAGAATAAACTAATCCAAGTGAATCTTCGTCGTCGCGTGCCACGGAATCAAAATAACAAATCAACTCGCATTAGAATAAAGCTTGAAAATCCATTTGGCAGTGGCATCGCAGAGAGAGATTATAAATACGAGTTCACCGTTACTCGTTCCCTAGAGAGACTTCAGAATTGCATTGCTAACGAAATGCAGAGAGACAGGCACACTCTCTCCGTTGGAAAAGGACAACACGGTTAGCGCATTGATTAACGAACAGAGGTGACGACTTGCCGGAATTCCACACAGCAAGTTTTACATTGTATAAAAAGCGAATAGACACACACACACACGTGGTAAGTATATATATAAGATGCCGTAGGCGAAACAGAACGATGACGATTGTTCCCTCGCGCCACTCGCACGAGCGGGTATACGCGAGGATTGTCCATTAAAGTTTTCTAACAAGTTTCTCTTCCGCGTGGCACGCAAGCGAGCAAGCCTCTGGCCAACTTTTCGAACGCGCGAGAGACTTTTCTTCCTTCTTTTTTTTTTCTAGCCGAGAGTTATCAAGCCCTAGCGACGCAGTTTTGCGATACTCGCTCTCGGGGAGTATTTGTCGCTAGCGCGTCACGCGGTTTTATTTTCCGTTTTACTGTTTTTTTCTTTTTTTTTTCTTTTTTCTTACATTTGAATAACGTGCGATGTTTGCCAAATTGACATCCCGACTTCAAATATACGTAAATATCTTACGTACATTTACCTGGGGATCGAAGGGAAAATGAAAAATTGAAGCGTGCGGTGCCTCAATTTTCTCCTTTTGGATTTGCTTCTATCACAACACAAACGTTCATCACAAGCTATATCACGGGCTCGAAAATCGGTGCTCCATTCAGTGAAAAGACTATACAATGAAAAACCGATTACAAACTTACCAACTCACGACTCCGTGTGTGTCACATAAAGAAGAAAAAAAAATTTTCACCCCGAGTATAAAACATTCATGAGCGTCGCGTCGTCATACAATAGCCACAGGATCTCGCATACACGCCACAACAAAAGAAGGAAAAAACACAGCCAAATGCAATTTTCCAACTCTCGGTGATGTTGCAACGTTATGATTCAAGAGGGAGAGAGAGAGAGAGAGAGAGAAGAAAAAGGTGTATGTATGTGTTATAGCTCCGCCCACGCAATCGAGTGCCAAGGGAAAAGAGAATGTCATTTCTGAGTAACGCTACACCTTTCAGAGCAGCCTTCGGGGCCATTGTGTCCGTGCGCGTCGGCGACACTCGATCGCAGGACTCCATTTGCGGTTTAGCATAATGGTAACCCAAGGAAAAGGCCCCTCGAGCTATACACCATCCAGGCCGCGCGACGACGACTTGTCCTTTCCCATTTTTCTTCGACGCGCTTTCTCCTCCCTTCCAAATGCTTTCTACTTGCGCGTTACTTTTACTCAGGCGAAGCAGCAGCCCCCATTCCTATCTACCGCTATGCCTTTTACTTTCTAGTCAAAGAGACAGTTTCATGCTGGTACCGAGGCTTTTTGGATTACACTTTGGATTGCTCGAGTGTTTTAAGGCCCTTGGGCGTTGATTGCAAACTTGAAATTGCAATCTTTCTTGAAAAGTTACATTTTACGGTACAACCGAGAAATTCACTTTGTACCGAATCGTCGATCGCGACTTTGCTCAATCAAGACTGTCGTGATACATCCTGAATTGCCGCTTAACAACCAACGTCAAATGAATATTTCCATTCCACGAACCACCTTGGCGCAAAAAGCAACTCTCTAGCGTTGCGCCAATCCGGCGCGAGGGAGAGAAAAAAAGCTCGGCGCAATTAAGCATAGTAGTCGTCGTTGGCGCACTTGGGAAAATACGCGCAAGTGACGCGTGTGTTGCATCAACTACTGCCACCTGCAAAAACAAACATGCGCGTCTAGGAAAAAAACCGGCAACGGTGGTGCCGCTGTATCAACAGGTACGAGTAAAAGTCTTGCTTCCAGCGCAGGAGGAGGTCGGATCGATGGAGCGCGCGTGGTTTTTAAGAATGAAAAATCGCTGCAAACGAGCGGCATTTGCCTATTGTCATGAAGCGTGGAGGTATATATGTGTATATATATGTATGTATATAGGCACGGCTCTTTTGCCTCGAGCTTATTTATTCTCCATTCAGTGGGATTCTTGCGGCCGTTTGAATTTTCCATTTGGAAAATGAGGCGCGTTACTTTTATTTTCTCTTTACGGATATGCATTTTACGACAGTGAATGCACGCAAAGAAACATAATGCTACTCTTTTTGTGCTCGAATAAACGTTGCGTTATTTCCGAATTTCGCAGGAGCTTTTGCCGTTGAGTATCGAAACATTAATGTACGACATCGAAATACCTTTCATTCCTTTTGAACGACAACTCGGCATACTCTCGTTCCGCTTTTACAAATTTATATCAAAAAATGAAGCTCAACAAAAAATCATCGCTACAGAAAATTTAATGCGCGCATATGCCACGTCATTCAGAGTATTTTCGCGAATAAGAGATTCGTTCAATCAAATCCCACACTCGCGGTAATCCCTCAGTAGGTTACACACGTCCTTTTTGCAGCGCGCTAAAAACGCAATTCCAATCGGGTAATACGGTGAAAATGTTTCCGCTGCGATCCATCGCTGCTAATTACCTCGCCGACGAGAGAACCAGAAATATAATATCGCAAGATAGTCGGTATCGTTGATAATTAAAATTTGCGGTGTAGCGAGTTGCGCAATTAAACGTGAAATCAATAACCACCTATAACAACGCCAGTTAATAGCCGCGCTCGCGCAGAGTTCGTCCGAAATAAAAGCTCGCGCGCGCGTCGACGTCGCCAGGCTGATATAAAAGGGACGACGCAGCCGTGCGTCGCTCGCCCGCTAATTAAAGCCTTTTGCACGGCAGCTCTCTTTTACCTGCGCTCCGCCTATTAATTTGATAAATGCAGCCGCGGAGATAATTGTTTGGACAGAGAGAGAGAGAGAGAGGATTAATCGATCTGCCGCGGTGAATTTCCAGGGATCTATACAGAGAGACAAAAGCTGCGATGCCTCGAGGGAAGGAGGAGAATTGGCAAAGCGCCGAAATTTTCTTTCTTTTTTTTCGGAAAAATACTAATCAAGCCCTTTTCTTCTCTCTCCCGCGGGCCGTCATTACCGACCCACCCTGGCAATTAGCTTTGACTCCAAGGAGCTTCCTCTCTCTTCTTCGTCAAAGGTATGGTTTGCTGTGTCTCGACGCGCCAGCCTTACTTGCCTTGGCAATCAGTAGAAAGGACTCGTTAACTTTTCATTCTTCGCTGCGAAGCCTTCGCGAAACTGCTGAACATTTCAATTGTTTGTCGCGACACGCCAAATTCTATCTTTCGGCTGTCTGCCCATTCTTTGGAATTCTATCAAATGAATGCTATCGGTGGATATTGTTCGAAATTGGCTCGGTGGACTCCGTGAGGAATACGTTTGTCCACTAGGTTTCTTAACTTTTACAATCAGCAATGAACGTAGATTGGTCGTTTTGCCGCTGGAACTATTGAATATCCACCACACGCTCGAAAACTCAATAAAGTTACAATGGCTATCAAAGGGCAGTCAAATTATACTCCGATGTAAAACGAACATCGTTCAATATCATAGAAAATGCAAATGGAAATGTCGAGAATTGTGAAAATGATCGTTTTAATTTTTTTCTGTATTCCAGGTGGAAAACGATGATGAGGGGTTTCGGCTAGTGTTTGCCAATCCCCCTTTCTTCCCCATCGCTCGAGAGCGAGGAAAGATGCCGTCCTCGAGCTTGTCACGTGCACTGCTGCTGCTTCTGATAATCGCGGCGGCACACGGACGCGCCTACAGTGCGCGCACCACAGGTCAGTTGTCTGTTGCCATAAACTTTTATCGCTTAACTTAACGACTCTTGCTTCTTGGACGTCAAATGTTTTATTTACTAAAGAGATGCATAAAAAAACAATATGCTACTTGAATAGCATCCTACTCCGATAAAAAGAAAATAAGACAAAGGTTCATCAGAAAATTCAACGAAAACCAGCTACCCTCGACGTACTTTGACGTAGAACCCCTTGAGGTTCGTAGCATAAAAAAGGCAACAAAAGCTTCCTCGGAAGCATTACAAGCGAAAATATTAATCGGCCTGAAATTTATGCTCGTCGCGTAGGTGGCAGAGAGAGAGAGAGAGAGAGAGAGAGAGAGAGAGAGAGCGCGTTGGTGGTGGACCCCTAATCGTAGAGCAAATAAGATTATCTGATCGAATTTTAATGGGCGGCTCGCGTGACCGTATGCACACACGTGTCAAATTCGCGCGCGCGCAACGACGAGAACTCTCCTCTTACCCCTTTAATCGGCTTATCGGTCAACGCAAGCGACAACGACGACTTTTAATTGTTCGCCCCAGCCCGCTTATTAACTTTTTTTTTCTCCGGGTCTCCGATACGCCGTCAATAAACAAACGATGGGGAGTGCGCGCGAGCAATTTTGAACAAACGAGACTCGCCTGCTACCAATTTTCTATTATAATTGCTCGCCAATTAACGCTCGCACACAGCGTCGTACTTATGATAATGAGGCTAAAGCGCGTTAGAGAGAGAAAGAGAGAGAGAGAGAGAGAGACGAAATTCCATTCCTATACTTACATCCTCTTATCTTCTTTAAGCGCGGCTTACGCAAGGCCACTCGTGTCCGAGGCGTAATAAATTAAATTCACCCCATCCTGCACATGTGCGCGCGGAGCGGACTTTTCGTCCCTTTTCCAGCAATGTGTTACTTGCTGAGAGAGAGAGAGAGACTTGAGAGAATTTCAATTCACCGCATTCGTTTTGTCTACTCTGTCCGGGGAGAATGATTCGGGTGCGTGAGAGGCTTTCGAGCGCTGAAACATTTTTTCTTTGGTTCCTCTTTGTGTGTCAATGAGTATTTCGTAACTGTTGGATAGCCGACTATGTATGTTCTATGAAATAATTGATCCAACACACTTTCACATCTTTTTCCGAGAATTCTTGTTTCACGGTTATGAACAGTTCATTGACTGCATATAAGCTTTTCATTTTCCATCGACTGCAATAAACGTTTTTAGCAAATATTTAATCGATAAAATCTTTCAATAACTAAAAGAAGCTCTTCGCTTCCGAGAAATTCCACCCTCGAATGAATTAACCAAGAAGGCAAGCAGCAGAAGCAGCAAATGAAGCCCTTAAAGTACAATCCACTTCTGGGTATTCTTGGGCAAATTCGAACAGTCAAAAGAGCACAGCATCGCGGGAAAATTTTCCTCAAACTCTCTTGCTCTTTAGAAGGTGATCGTGTGCTCTAGCGGTAGTAGTTGGAGAGACGAGTAAAGACAAGTAAAAAATACAGCACCCGGAAAAATAATGGTTTAGAAAAAAAAAATAACCGCGAAAGAAGAGCTTCCGTAATGAGGCCGAATAATTCCGCTACGTTAAACAAGATTCTTTTCTTGACTGAAAAAAGAAACTTGCATTCGTTATACCGAAGAAAGAAATCTTGGTGGTATTTTCATCTGGCGTACGTAATCCCTTTCTCGTATTGTGCATTGTGCTGGTGTAGTGCCGCAAACAGCGACAAATGCGAGTTGTGCATAGTTGATGTTGGCGTACCTACCCGGAGAATTCCCATGAGCGATAGACGTAATTAATCTGTTTTTCTTTCTCTTGCAATTTCGGCTCTTTGACTCTGTGAGAAGTCCGCGGAGACCACCGCCGTCGTCGCTACCGTCGCCACCGTGAGTTTCTCACCACTAATGTTTGAATGTGAGACAACGTCGAGAGTTCTGTAGAAGCCTTGTTTCTAGGCTAACTTGCTCTGCTATCCTTGGCTTCCTCATTAGCACGTCATGTTTCTTTTTACACTTTGTGATTGTGATATTTCAGTGAATCTCATTAATAACACTTGATTTCATCACGATAAATCTATATATAATACGATAGATCAATAAAGATAATCATTGAATTTGACCTTTACCTTGAATAAATTAATCGATTGAATTACACTGAAAAATGAAGTTTCGCCTATAAATTTTAAGAAACGAGAGTAATTAACCTGTTAACCAAGCGGGACGTATAAATACGTCAAAAGTAAACAATATCGGGTATGGGTAGGACATATGAATACGCCCTCGATATTTATATTGCGCCCTGGAACGAGCGGGACGTATATTTTACTACTACTATGGTAATACGTCATTCATACACGTCTTAGTAGAAAAGGACGCGCCCGTTATATGTTGCGTAATTAGAAAGCGATTTCCCCGGTTAACAGGTTAAGAAGTTATAGAAAAGTCGCAAAATCAAGTTATTTCAGATTATAAAAGAAAACGTGTTTCAACTAAAAGATGAACAAGCATTTACGTGTTTCAAATGAAATTACAGGATAAACATAATGCGATGGCCACGTAGTCCGGAGAAATAAAAGGAGGGCGAAAAATAAACCATGACAATCCAAGCAGATTTAAGAATTTGATCTCTTGCGCGGCAGCATTTTTCCAGCCAATGAATTAAGAATCTTGAGAATATTTATTCGACTTGATGAAATCTCACAGAAAGAGAAAGACTTGAAGTAATACGACGTGTTAATTCTCTGAAATCGGCTTTTTAATAATTAGCAAAGTTGTTTCTCGGCTGGCCTGACTGACGTATCAAACTTTCAAGATGAGTGTTGCTGGCTTTTATTTTCTTATAAAGAAGCACTTATTCGCTCGAATACACTGCAGGAAAATTAAACTTGACGTTGCTATTTCGACGAGAGTATTATCTGGAACAATTAACCAACTACCAAATCGAAGCAGTTAACGAAAGGCAGAAATAATAGCTGGCTTGGAAAACCGAACTTGATCGACAGTCGACTTGGTAGCTACTACTACTGGCTGGCGGTAGCGCGTGGAACAAAGTCGAACTAGAAATGCCAGACGTTCAAAGTGTGCACTGAGAAATACTCGACGAATTCCGTTTGCGGAATGACGTGCTGCTCTTGCAAAGAGACAAATGGCCTTCTCCGTCGCATACTTAGCTCTTCTCTCTCCCTTTTTCTCACACTGTTTGACTGTGACAAAGTGTCGCGTCTTTGGCCGGATCGAATTGGCATTTTGAATTTTTCGGACGTGCGCTCGAATATTGGGCCATTCGTCTGCGTCGCTACAATGGATTTTGATTGATCGATCGACGTTTCTTGCGGACATTACTCGCGCTCGCGAGATTTAATCAAGACTAGTAAATCAATGTGCCCGCGATGCGGTAAAACTCGATTTTAAAGTTTTGTGCGAGATGTGAGGAGGGGTGGGGCGGATATTTTTGTCGATAGTAACTTTCTTACGTCATTGTTTTTTGTTAGAAAACTCTTGAAATATATGTTAACGTACCGTGAAGATAGATTTTGTTTTAGAAATAACAAAGCGACTACTCACGTCAGACAACGAGACTCATTAGCAAGTTTCACTGGAGAATTAGAGACACAGTTTGTCTTCGGTTTCCCCAAAGTGTTTGCATACCGCGGCCCCGAAAAAAAGCACCACGCACACCCACCCTTGTAAAAAAGCTTTACTAATTGCCGCACGGTTTATGTTTTTTTCCGGGAGTCGTCTATCGATAATTTCGTGCGCACGTTATTAATTATACGGCTATGTGATGGAAGACATCCCAGAAACCTCGCACCCCTGGTATTTTTTTACTTTTAAACAAACAAACGAAAAAAAAGAAAGTTTTAAAGAGGGTCCATGGTCTTTTATTTTTTGTCTACTTTTTCTCTTTATTAATCTCGAAGAGCACGTCGGAGATCATTTTACGCTCAACTAATCACGCGCCGTGAGTCGTAAGTGAAAGTTTGTATCGGAGGGTGCTGCATGATAAGTTTCGGGGCTGAGGAAACGTAAAATAGAAAGTTCACTGCTACTATATTGTATTCGTAAAAGTTAATAGTTTCCTGATGAGTCGGCAGTGAAAATGAATTCTCCCATTAGAATTTAGAGTGTAAATAGAAAGAAAGAAAAAAAATGTTGACGCTGAAAAATTAATGGAATGCGGATGAGTTTTCGATGCATTAACTGTTTTCATAGAAAAAAATAATTTTCAAACTTAATGCGGGAAATAAAGAAGAAAAAGCGTTTGTGTAATAATGAAGGAGCTTTTAAAACTTTCAATCGAAACTAATACACACTAAATAAAAAAATATCAGAAAATTTAATCAAGTCGCCAAACATCCCAGGCGCCCTATAAAAAAAAGCTATTCAATCTGCAAGCATGAATACAGTGGAACGATCCACTCGAAAGTTAATCAACCGTATCAAACTCGCAAACAGCCAATAAAATCGCGGGACCCGGGACCATAAAATGCCCAAGGCACGAATTAAATTCTCAATCAAGTTCGTGCTCAGAACGTCAAAAATCCAAAGTATAAAACCAAACCTTCTCATAACAAAAGCCAGCGAACCGCATTGTGTCTCAAATACCACGGCGGCGTGAAGAAAAAAAAAAAAAAAAGACGCACTATCTGTGGGTTTTATTTTCAACCCGCGAGGGGAATCCTTTTTTCGTTAATGACGTGATCCTGCTTTTCGGCGTATTTTTTAAAGAAATTAATCAGCGTTCATACATTCCTACGTACTCGACGTATTGGATTAGTAACAGACAAGCGCATAGAAGGGAAAAAACGTCCAGCGAAAATTCATGCCACTAACAAACTCCTCTGTTAAATCGTGCGTATCTAGCGCAACCTACTTTTGAATGTTACAATTTAGGGCATGTGCTATAATATGCGCGTGCATCCTCTAACGAAAACACAGATAATCAAAATTTAATTGGAATTCTGATGAATATATATAGGTTGGCGAACATTAAATTATCAG